TCTTTCCCTTGATTTTCTTTCTTCTCTTCCTCACGTTTCTGATACTTATTTTTCCTCTCTTGGTAATGTACTATGCATTTTTTCTGGAGAGGGAGTACTCTGTGTATTGTCTCTCTTCCTTTTCTCTTAAGCACCGCTCTCCTTTTCTATTTCCTCTCTATATTTTTTTCTCTTTTCTTGGCGGCTGCTCTTTCTCTCTAGAGAACACTTCCTTCTTAGGGCAACAAAAAGGGCTGAGGTGTCACTCGATGATGTGTGCAGTGGACCACAATGACACCTGCTCAACCAGCTCACACGGATTTTTTTGTCTGCTTTTTCTAAGTAGTGTGCTAATGTCATCTACATGCCAGCTGTTCCTAAAATGCTGCAGCATTTAGTCCAATAATTTCCTGCAAAGTGCACACACAAGTCTTAGTCGACTTTCTACTTCTTTTTAATTCAAAATCCTCAAATTTTACTTCAAGAAGAGCACAAGTACAGAATTCATCAATAGTAAGTGTAAACTATAAAAAATCTAAATTAAAATACAAAAGAAACTAGTAAAATCACTCTTAGTCAAGCAACTTTTGAGCTAGAAAACCATTAGATAACTCTAATTTCTTAGAGTTATCACCTGTCGACAATTAATTGTTTGTGAGGATGCTTAGACCGGTGAATGAAGTTTGTTGGATGTCATGAACCGCATAATTTTTACTATCCTAGTGGTGGTGGATTGATGCATTTGGTTGTGATGTTTGATGAATTATCCTTACCTGCGAAAGAGTTTTATTCTTGCTCAACAGACTTTAGCACGCAATGATCATATTGGCTTGGATCATTGGAAAGGCTAAGTAAAGGGCAAATTGCATGATCTTGTTTTACATGCCTATTGTTGGTTGCCCCTGTTGTTTCATTTAGCCTTGGACAATCCTTGTATCTCCGCTATCTTGATGCTAAATGGGACAAACCATATATATGGTATGAATCTCTTTATGAATCTGTTAATGATGAAATGGGCATAGCCTTGAGAATGTACTTTCTAGTTCCATTAATGTGTTGAGAAACTCTATGATGAGTGGGAGTGTATGGATAACACTGAGGCAGTAGCGTCTCAATTTTAGGATGAGACAGTCACTAAAATTAGCTTTATGGAGAACGTTGTTAATAAATGCATATGTGTAAGGTCAGTGAGAGCAGTTGCATGTTTCTATTTTTTTATGTCGGTGACAACTTGCTCGCACCTAATGATTCTGACCTGTTGGTTGGGACAAATAGCATGTTGCCTAGTTGCTTTGGTATGAGAATATTGAAAAAACTTCTTATGTTCTAGGCATGTAGATTCTCCGTGATAAGGATAAGTGCATTTTCTGGTCGTCTCAGAGAACCAATATTGTTCTTGTTTTGAACAGGTTCAGTATGCATTCTTGTTCTCCTAGTAAGCATTGTTTGTTAAAGTGACAAACTCTCAAAGGTGTAATGTCCTTATGGTGAAGTAAGAGAGATAAAATAAAATTGTCCTTTATGCTTGCGTGTTTAGCAGCTTGATGTATGCTCAAGTATGCACACGTCTTATTATTGTGTTTGTTGTTGACGTGCAGATTCGGTACTTGAGTGATTGTTGTTATTATTATTGAATTAGCTGGGAATGAAGTACCAGATAGTTGTGTATTGGCGAACCTAACACTTTTGTTGTAGTTGGATCTCGTGATGCCGATTATATAGGCTGCATAAATGATAAAAGGATGAGCTACTTTGTTGAAAAGTGTCAAATAGACACTCGTCGCGTCTTTGACTGTGATGCGGAGTATATGTGGCGTATCGTGAGGCTATTTGTGTGATGTAATTATGGAACCTTGTTTCAACATTAAGAGTAGTTCACTCCATTTCTGAACCGGCTGAAACTGTGTTGTGAAAGTTCTATAATAATATTTTTCTCTTAGAACACCAGGAGCATTGTCCGCCCAAGTATAATGATGGTGTGTTCTATTTTTTTGTAAAGAGAAATTGTAAAAATGCCTCATTGTTACTGAAAACACGCCTATAAACAACATGTTAGCAGTTCCACTAAAGGCTTACCTATTAGGTGTTTTAAAAACACGCATTCCACTCGGGACTGTAAGGAGCCTATAGTTGTATTAAGTTAGTGGGAGTTTACTGCCATTTGTGTGTCACATGTTGTTATTGATAAGGATTGCTTATGCCTCAAATAATACATGCATATTCATGAATCTGTTACTTTATGTGTGATGTGTTGACACACTTTTTAGTTGACAAAGTGACGAGTTGAAAAGAGACATCTCATTGTTAGTCTCTATCATTGTATTAATCCATATATTAAAGTTGTCATCATGCTTTGATGAATCTCCAGCGCCTGATTATGTATAATGATTGTATCCTGTCGATGCGTTATTATGCATGATTGTTTTGGACTTGTGTTTGTTATGTGTGATTCTTAGTTGATGCTTATGCTGTGATGAGTGAATGTTTGTTGTATGATTATGTCGTCCAAGTGGGAGACTGTTGGAATATTTTTATGTAGACTTCCATAATCATAATAATTCACTCTGTAATTAACTAAAGCATCTTATGGACAACTGTATTAATGTGAATTAATTATGCATGTATATTAAATATTAGTCCATAATGGAATAAAAACTTATTTTATTGACTCATTTGAGACATATGAACTCACTCTCTTTAAATATTTGGTCAGCCCATTAGACCAAATTTCATTTTTATCAATAATTTTGGTTGAGGCCGAACAAGGCCCAATTGCCTAAGGTTGCAGCGCAAAACCAGAGGGGAAATTTTTTTTCCCTGCCGTGTATGTGTGTGTGTGTGTTGTTGGTGTTTGTGGAAAAGAGAGGCAGAGAAGAGAAAGAGTTCAAGAACTCTTCAAGCCCCTTTGATTTTTCAGGTCATTCAAGCACCAATTCCAGCCAGTATTGCACGTTTTTCGGCAACCATGAACGACCCCGTTCTTATGCCAAGTGGAGGAGGTAATACTGGATCCATACACTGCTTCAAAATCCAATTTGATAATGTATTTTTGGGTTAAATGTTTTGATCTCAGTATTGAGAACTCATTAATTTCTAACAATGCCTACAAAAGCAAAAACTTTAACAAGGCCAGTCCACAGGTTGAACGTGGCATAACATGTCAGAAGGGTTTCTTGCAGAATTATGCAAGGAAGAAAATGGCAGAAACTAACTTCTATTGTGAGAAGCAAATCAAGACATGAAACAGAAATGAGAGCCTCACAATTTAGTCTCATAGAAATAAGTAGATGAGACGGCCAAGCCTTCCACATCATAGGTGCGAACTAGTCTCTGTCTCTTGCCAGGTGACTCAAGCCAGCAGAACTCCAAATGGAATGACTTTGACTCAGCCACACTCTTTGCCACATCGCACGGGCATCCCATGTACATACCACCAGGCAACAGCGTTATCTGGTAACCTCCATCGAAGATTACTAAATTGTTCAACATGATGCCAGTCCAAGGCACATTAGTGGTGATGCCACTAGACGTTGAAGCAATGTCCTGAGATTGGTTTTTGAACGTTATCGAATGAAGAGAAGTAGGAGAGAAACAGAAGAGAAGGAGATTAAGCTAATGATTGATTTGGCAGCAGAGTACCTCAATCTGACTATGTCGATTACCACAATGCAAAATTGTAAAAAGGAAAATGACTGTGATATAGAGAAGAAACTGCATGCTCAGAGTTGCTATTTCTTTTCAGTGACATTATTAAAGACTCAATGCTTCATCTTTTACCATGCCAACAACAAATGAAGTTTTTTGGAGCATTATTTAGTCATTTGTATGGAATCAAGGTATTGACCGTGATTGCATTTGCCTTATATCATTAACATATTTAACAGCCTGAAACCTGTTTTCCTTTTCCCAAATTGATTTTTGGGGGGGTGTATCAATTAGTTTCAAGTAGATATACCTGAATGAGTTGACCCTTGTCATCCATTTCAAGTGATGAGACCGTATCAGCTTCGGCAATTGTTGATCCATAAACACCACTCCGTTTTGTTACAGAGTGACCTTTCCACTTGCCAAGAAACGGTAAAATCCTATTTGAGTTGTCCTGAAGCCAATAAAATAATACAAAACACAGATGAAGATGCTTAACAAACTAATTAGAACAAAAAGTCCCTAGCTTCTAGTATTAGCTAGTTAGTAGCAGTATGTGAAATTTACCGCATTTTGAACAAGTGAAGGATGGGAAACCAACCCTTCACCTCTTTCCTCGAGGAAGACCAGAAGCATTTCTATAACACCTTTTGGGTCCATGATATGGAATGCTCTTACTCGCATATCTTTCTCCAGCGAGTACAGGCAGTTTTCGCATACTATAGAAGGGCGTCGGGAAGGAAGCTTGAGATTTCTGCATGATAAATGAAAAATTAAACAAGTGACGAAAGCAAGAAAAGGAACAGGAAAACAGACAAGTCAGAGTGACAGATTGAAGCTCTGCATTTAAGCATTTAAAATCGAAAGGAAAATGAAAAAGGCTAATTCAATGCAAACCACTCTCCAAGTACTTACCTTGGTGATTCTTCACCTGTATCATCTTCTCCTAGAACCCCTTGTCTTAGAACAGTTTCCAACATGCCAGCTGTTTGGTACCTCAGAGAAAAAGCTCTCTCGTTTGGGAAGATGCCAATCTGCAGGCTAATTACAATGGATATTCAACAGAAGACAAGAGATCACAAAGACTAAGCTATAAGCTATTTCACCATTGAAACTAACCAATAATACACTCCATGTCTCTCAAGTGTTGGAAAACCTCACCTGTTGATATGTGTCTACAGTAAACATGTTGGTTTCTTTGATTTTGTATTCTGCCCATTGGACCTCGTCATCATCATCATCATCAAATGAAGTACTTGATGGAGGTTGTTTGATGTATAATCTATCGAAATTTGACAAAATTAAGTTAATAGGACCAAATAAGACAATATCAGCAAAGGTTTCTAATTGATATATGTAGGGAAAAAAAAAAAAAAACAAGTCTTTCTGACGAAAATCACTCGAACTCTTATATGTTTATCGTGATATCTATAATTAAAACTTATTCATGAAATGAATTAATACTTAGCATTGCATCGATTTTACCTTTTGCCTCCCAAATTTGTCTCTTTTGTATTTTTTTTTGTTATTTAAAATAATTTTAATGCAAAAACTAAAACTAAATCTTACGTTTGAATAAGGCTGATGAGTTCATCTTCACCATAAGTACTAACCGCAAGCTTCGTATTCACTTTATGCAATAGTCTCCCGTCAGCATCAAATTGCTGTGAAAAGAAAAAAAAAACTCAGAATTTCAGAAATCAACACAATAAGCAGATTTCGAACACTCAGTTTAAATTGATATTTTCGCAACATTTATCCAACCCCACAAATATCCTAAAAGCCTTATCCAAAAACTAGGCTAATTTGAACAGTACACATTTTCCAAGGAAAAAAGAAGGAGAAATTCCAGTAGTTTCTCGGGAACCAAACAGAATCTAAACCTTCAGCGACGGAAAATTTTCAAATTTGCTGATAAAATTAGAAACTTGATACTTACAAAGAAAGAACCGTTCCATTTGCCCAAATTGAGATTGAAGAAGCTATGAAGATTGTCGATACTCATGGATTCCTCGCTGGGTTTCCGAGCTTCTTCGCCGTCGCGGACTGTGGAGGAAGCCCGTGAGTTCGTGGCTCGGATTCCGGAGCTCCATAACTTGAGAATCTGTCGAGAGAATGGCGTAGATTTGGGAAGAATTGTGGAGAAGGTTCGGACCACGCTGGCTTTGGGTAAATTGTGTATTGGAGGGAAAGAAACTGAGTGGCAGCAAATGGAAGCCATTGAAAAGTACGAGCTTTGGATTAGGCTGATCGATGATAATTTTTATCTCGTTTGAAATTAAAGATACTACCAGGGGGAAATAAAACAGTTTCTTGTCGGATAACATATTAGCATGTTGCTAAATTCAAAACGATTTGTCGTTTTTATAAAAATATGATATTAATAGGCTGAATCACATTTTGGTCGTTTACGTGAATATAAATTTTATTTTTATTTTTAATAAATATCCTTTTATTAGTGTAATTATTTAACTAAAAATATTATAAATCAAGAGTAAATGATGAAAATTCTGATCCAAGAGCTTAATGGGTCAAAATGATTTTTTAATTTTCTAATAAGTAATAAAAGTGTTAGAATTAAGCTTATAATGCCTTAATTAAATCGGAAATAGTAAAAAATAGGACAATATGAAAAGCTTAAGAAAGTATATAGGCCAATTTTTAGTTATAGAAATTAATAGACCATAACTTGTCAAATTATGGTTCATAACCAGATAAGTTACCATAACTTGACAAGTTATGGACAAACTTGTCAAGTTATGATTCATAGCCAGACAAGTTATGGAAAAAAATAGTGAATTATGGACAATAACTTGTTAAGTTATGGTTCATAACCAGACAAGTTATGTACAAAAACAGTAATTTGGCATATTTATTAACTTATATAAACTATTGACCTATTAATTTTAAGTCATCTCAAGTCTTGGTCTATTTCCCTCTTTCTCCCTAATTAAATTCTGGTACAAGTTTCAAGGTCTATTTAAAAATGATGTTTTTAAAAGTCATATTTTCTGATTTTGATTCAAAGCTCTTCTAAAAAGTCAAAATATTTCTAACAAAATAACTAAATACTTTCAGTAACATCTAAAACTCTCCCAAAAAGACCTAGGGTCTCTCTCACATATTAATTTATTCCAAATTATTTGTTTATTCATCGGTTATTAAAATTACAATATGCACGACTTTATTCTTAACCATCATTTTCTAACATGTAAAATTACATAAATTAACTTTAATTAAATTGTAGGTGGTCCTCACGTCTCTTTTCTTATAGAACTGTCTAATAGAGCTTTTTAGCAGTTGGATATAGAGAAAAGTGGTCCCGTTCATTTCGCCGATTCGAGTTTAGAATTCGAGTTTTGTTACAGTAAAAAGCTCTCAGAAACAGTCACATCTAACTTTTTTGTTACAGTAAAAAGCTCTCACATAAAATCACATATCAACTCGAATTACAAACTCGAATCAGCGAAGTGAACGAAAAATTTAAAACAATTGAAGAGATCACGAACTCGTTATAAAACTATGGCCTCGTTCATTTTACCAATTTGAGTTTTCAGTTTTATGTTTTTACAGTAAAAAGCTCTTAAAAGATGTCTCATCTAACTTTTTTTGCTACAATAAAAAACTCTAAAAAAATGTCACATCTCAACTCGAATTAAAAACTCGAATCCGCGAAATAAACTCTCAGGGTTAATATAGAATTAACTCGTTATAAAACATTACAAAAGTCAAGGTTAATATATAGAATTTGACCTATTGTTGGAGAGCTAAGATTCACCTTGTTTTGAATAAAAAAAACGAAGACAATTCTCAAACGACACGTGTCATTGCATCCAAAACGACAGTACCTCCTACTAGCAAATATACCCACCAAAACCGCAGAAAACATGTTCAAAAAACGACAAAATTCCCAAAAGGGCAACATGTTATGAAAGCATTTAGCTCCTCTTAGCATAAATTTAAAAGCAAAATCTACCCAAAAAAAAAGGTAAAAGAGAGAATAATAAAGGCAGTTCTACTTTAGCTGCTCAACAAATATTAGCACATTCAGAAAAGGCATTGAAATGTAAGGATCAACTACAGCCATCCATCCACTCTACCATACAGCAAAATCTACTCTCAAAGCAACAAGAGTTAAAATTGATATTTACAAATATTTCAAGTCTCTAACAACTCACAAACCAGCAAAGCTAAAACAAAGTTACTCGGTCTCATTTAGGAAGTTTCCTCTCTTTAGCTTTGCATACACAGATAATAACTCACTACTCCGACAAAAAGCAATCACTAATGACCTAAACTACAGAGCATTCTCATCGGGGACTAAGAAATCGAATCGAACATCAACAGAACTGGATCCTTCTCCGTTGTCTTTGTACTCAACATTTCTTATAGTACCAAATTCATCCACATCTTGGTATGCAGGCTTAACACGCCTCACAGGGACAGTGACAGAGTAGACAGTGCCCACATCCATATCAGTCGAGACACTAAGTTGTACTTTGTCCTGAGAATCGATCTCCACGAAATCCGACAGAGCATCCACAATGTTGCTCACTATCTTCTGCTTTGCCTCATCACTAACCGCGCATCTATCAGAGAAAAGAAGCATCTTCAAGCGCTGCTTCGCAATCTTGGCGTTGGAGTTCCTTTTGGTTGATGGTGAAGGGAACAAAATCTTCCACGCCAAGTTGAGACGCTCAAAGAAGTTCATGTTCACGGCATTGAGGAGGAGGCTTTCTGTTTCTTGGATTGGAGGTTCAGGAGAAAGTACTTCATTATTTTCACCAAAAATACCAAATGATTGGTGATAATTGCACTTTAATTTGTTGCCTTCCTGATCTGTGCAAGGCCGTTTGGAAGTGGATAATCCACCATTTAATAAGCCTTTGAAACCTACCTGCAGAATTGGAAAGTGTGATGGGCATGAAATAGCCAAAACAAAGCATAAAAACTACACATTTTCTGAAGGGTTAAACTCATCTTTAATCCCAAATAATAGGCCCAAATTTCATTTTGCTTATCACATTAGACTTTTTCTCATTGAGATTTTAAGTCAAATGGACATAAAGACTAATTTAGGACAATTTGATAGACCGGAAACTCCTTTTGGTGCGGTCTAAAAATCAGAGACCAAAATGGGAGTTGCTCCAAATAGGGACTAAAAAAGCATATTAACCCTTTTTTATAAACCAAGTTCTCCTGATACCACTAAGTCCCAATCTAAAAACTGCCCTTTTATCTCTAGTTTTTGGTGTAGTACATCTATGAAATGAAATATAAAAATTTGCTATTTATCTTTAAATGAGGGAGCAACTGAATAACAGTTCTGTTTAAGGCTGGCATATCTTGTAAGCAATTGTTCTGCTTGCATTTTAAAATTTTTATGAACCAAACAAGAGCAGAAAAAAAAAAAAGTAGAAGATGCCCAAATAATATTGACATAAAATCTACAACAAGATTGAAAAATGCCCAGGAATGTATGAATCGTTGAAGGCAAAATACAGCGTTTTTTAAGACTACGCATACAAGCTTGAGATTTTGGAGCTGAAGACTGAAATGGGTTATGGAAGTTAAATCGAAGCCAACAAACCTTGGAAGGCGAAAGAGCGTTCCCCAAATAGTGGTGCTTAAAAGGGTAAGAACCCATTGTTGCGAAGACCCTCAAATCTCCAGAAACCGCCATGTTCTTTGCTTCTTCTCTAAAGTCCTTTTGCAGTAAGACGTTTCAAAATTCAACTTTCAAATGTTTTGGGTTTTGGGAAGTTTGGACCTGTGTCGGTGGGGATAGCTAACATTGCAGAAAACGGGAGCGAACGGAAGCTTCAAGAGGGTATTTTCGTGATTTGAGGAGTGGATGAGGATTGTTTTGGACAGTGCAAATTTGGTGGCGTTATCGCCGTTGAAGTTGGATTACGACAGAGGACGGATCTATTAGCATTAGATACTGCAAAATTGGCTCTCGCAACGTTATCGTTTTAACAATGTTAAAAGGGCATTTGTGATATTCAACGTTGCACGCTAATAAAAAATGATTCTCAAATGGATTGAGTTCAAATGACTCTTTAATAAAATTATATCATATCACTTAAAATTATTTTAACTATCACTACTCCTTAATTGATGTAATAAAGAATTTTAATTAACGTAACATTTTAATTGACGTCTCGTAACATTATTAAAGATACGTGAAAGGAGACGAAAATAAGAGGGTGTCGGCTCACTACCATTCTTTTGGTGCTCAACAGAACAGTAGTGATATCCTCAAATGTTTTTTCTTAATGTTTACCTCTACCTCTTATAGAAATGTCATCATTTAACGTCACGATTAAATGTATTATTTAGCAGCATAATTATAAATTATTGGCCCAGATAGAAAATAAATGACATTCAAAAATATCATTATGAGTTTTTATGACATTTAAAAGAACGTTGTGAAATAGATAGTAATTGTATTTGCTTGATATTTGATATCATTGTGGAATTTACATATGAAACTCCGTTTGATCTCAAGTTCTTAACTGTAACACTCTCACGACGGTAACGTTTTAGTATAAATATTTTCTAATTTCTTCAAATGTTACTTACAAATTAGAAAAACTATCATATTTATATGTAAGTACTTAAATACACAAAAAAAAAAAATCCAAATCCACAACCCCAAATCTAAGAATTGCTAAAATCTAACCAAAAGCAACCCCTAAAAGACTTGGATTCTGATGGTGGGCCAGACACGGTGGTGGTTGGAGAGCACGACTATGAGAGTCTCGGCACCAACAACTATCGGGTTTGGGGAGTGAGGAAGAGAGAGTGAATTTAGAGAAAGAGCCAACAGATTTGAGCAAACTTTTTAAGGTTGAGAGGGGAGGGAATTAAAGAGGGGGGTAGTGGAGGACAACGCAAAAGTTCAGTTAAAACGTTTGTTTGTTTTTTTTTTTTTAAAGGGGGAGAAAATAAGTGCTCGAAACTATAAAATGGAGAGGTTGGATTTTAAAATTTATGAGAAGAAAATAGGTGGGTGAAGGTCTACATTTTTGGATTGAAAATTTTGAAGTATTTTTCAAAAACCACTATTAAAGTTGTAAGTGATAACTTCTCTCATGGTGCATTTGATGAATGATAATGGTAATAAGAATGGTAATAGTAATAGAATATAATAGAAAAAATAATAATTCATTTATTTGATTAAGGTTTTACAAATATAATAGAAATGAATATGAGTATTTTTCTTTGGACAAAATTAATCCCGTCTCTCTCACTCCCAAACCCAGATAAATCCAGAAAGATCGTCTATGCTTTTCTATGAAGCTGTTTTTTTTTCCAATCCAAGAAAGATCGTCTATGCTTCTCACGGTGACAACAATGTTTGAGATTTATAGTGGCCAACAATCTAATGGGTTTTTGGAGATTTTATGTTCATGAGATTTATGGTTCTTTAGTTCATGAATTTGAAATGAAGACAAGTTTTTGGGTTTTTCCCATTTTGGTTGACGAGAATTTTGGATTATGTGTGAGGATGGGGTAGGTTTTGTCGGCCTAGACGTAGGTAGATTTGTGCGAGAGTGGAGGAGGACGATTTGTTCGTGGGCGGCGCTGGGCGGATACAGTTTGGGCAAGGGATGATAGCGGAGAAGTAGAACTCAAGTTCACCGGAACAATGAAGGCGCTGGATCTAGGTCGAAGAATGATATATAATGGGGTAGAGGGAGGTGGTAGAACTCGAGTTTACCGGAACAATGAAGGCGCTGGATCTAGGTTGAAGAATGATATATAATGGGGTAGAGGGAGGTGGTGGGTCTTGGTTGAAGATGACGGTAATGGGTCTTGGTTGAAGATGACGGTGAAAAAAAAAACAAGGATATAAAAGGAAAAATAGATAACTCTTGATTGGAATCGTCATTCATGCCATCTGAGAGAGGAATGACAATTCCACTAAAATGGTGGAAAAATCATTCCAAGAGAATAGTTATTCCATAAGTTTTAGCCAACCAAACATTAAAATTAAGGTTCTTTCTTCTTCTTTTTTTTTCATTTTTTTCCCACAACCAAACACACCCTCATGAATCTTCGCTAAGAGATTTACATTTAATGATGGACTTAAAATTAACTATCTTATGAAAAGATAAAGGTATTGTAAATGTTGTCATTGCAGATATCAATTGTTTAAGAAGTTTTGAAAAATACTTTATTGGTGATGATTGTTTTTGAACTTCCGAATTTCAATTAGATTCCAATGTAATTGAGTGTGTAATCTAATTTGAAGGATACTTGTTTCCTCTCGATGAATCTCTCTATTGCTCAAATATTGACAGACAATTCAAATTAGTATGTGGCCATGTTCATCACAGTAACCTTATTTATATTACTTTCCTTCAATTAATTATCAAGTGGCCTCTTGGCATTTGTATCCCAATACACGGTTTAGAAGAGGATGAACAAAATGAAAGTTATGGAAAGGAGTACAATATAGAGAAACATTTGATCAACCGTACTATTATTTGACATTGGAGAAGCGTTTTGGGCAGGAACAGGAGCAGGAGATGGGGCAGGATCAGTGGCCGGGAGTAGTCGGTCATCGACAAAGATGGCGACACGCATCCCGTGGTAGCAATACCCGCCGCCGGAGAGGAAGTAATAAGGCCGTGCCTCTGTGAGCTCATACACATCGCGGCCACCTTGAGTTATGTTCTTAATGAAGCTTTGATCGTCGCAGTTCTCATAACTTGTCTTGTTCACTTCCAATACATTGTAGTAACGCTTGTCAAAGTGGAAATCTGACGAAAAAACACAACAAAGTTAGGCCAAATCATTACTTTATTTACTGGTAATTACATGTAGCATAAGATTAAATGTTACCAGTACTAATACTTATAAATGTTAATGTGTAGCACTACGGAGACAATTTCCCGAATTTGCCCAAAAAAAAAAAAAAGTAGGCCAATTAAGAAATTAGAAATGCACGTTACCCATATGGCATGTATAATCTTCAATAATCTAGCTTGTTATTAATTGCTGACAATATTAATTGAGCGTTCTTGTGTAGTTGTGTTCATTATATTTATATGCATGCTTACTAAATTACTGATAATAAAAAATAAAATAAAATAAAATGAAAGCACTATTGTTAATTTTCCTCTAATCAAGATTAATTCCCTCAAAATGTACTAATTAATTAATTTACCCATCATTTGGATTGATAACAAAGCCAACCTCAAATCTACATGATCCAAGTCTAAGGTGTAACAAGAACAGGAATAATGTAGGAATATTAGAGAGAGAGAGAGAGAGAGAGAGAGTTGTTATACAGAGCCAGTCTCCGACGTAGATGTGCTGAGAAGCGGACCATAAAGTATAGTTTATGTTCTGGTTCCATCCAAGAGAGCCTCCAACCCTGTGCAATGTCGTTTTTGCCATTACACTTGTCTTCAGCCCCACCAACGACATCATGACCCATATTACAACCATCGCCAACCTTCCCGTCCTTCTGCTCATGATCAAACCATCCATATATTCTCTCTCTATGATCTGATCACTCTTTGAAAAAATTAGTTAATTAGTACTCTAGGTTATTCTTTCTATATAATTGTTTGTCTTTTCTACATATATATGGAGCAAAATATAGACTTGGCGCAACACACACACGTGTGTTTATATATATATATATATATTCTCTAATGCTCTTTAACGGTCTCCGCTACAGATTAGAGTCAAAAGACTGAAAGCAAAAGAGTGAATTTGACGAAGCGTAGATCCTTATTTGTTACAACTAATAAACGCATTACCATTTTTGGCCATTGCTATTTGATTTGTAAATGTATGAATCAGGTCAGGATTGATTAGTCTGTTCATGAATGCAAAATGCATCATTATCCGTTCACTAATCAGAGTCGACGGGTTAATCACCGTCCACGTGTACAGTAAGACTTTATGCGTCCACGTGGCATAACGCAATTTGTTCCGTTCTAAAGGCAGTTTAGGCCACATTCACTTTGCAGATTCGAGTTTTCAATTCGAGCTGAGATGTGATATTTTGTGAGAACTTTTCACTGTAGTAGAAAAAGTTAGATGTGACATTTTCTGAGAGTTTTTTACTGTAAAAACCTAGAATTGAAAACTCAAATCGGTGAAATGAACGAGACCTTAGTGATTTGTGTAACACGTCAGCCAGCAAAAGCTTTACAAAGATTAGTAAAAGAAAAGGCAAGCCATGTGATTGGCAAAGAGATGCTGGATATAGTTTCATTTTGTGAACAAAAAGAAAGAGAGTTGAGTTCTTGAGGATGGCACAATATTCCTTTTTTCTTTCCAAAAATAAAGAGAAAAACCAATTCCAAAAAAGCAAATAATTCTTATCTTCCCAGCATAAAAGAGTGAACAATAAAGCAAAAATTGATCAGAAGAAAAAGAAAAAGGAAAACAAAGTAGTCGATATAGATGAAAGCTTATTAGAGGGTGGTTGTGATTTTTGAGTATGTTCCACGAGCTAAGCTAAAAAGCCAACATTAGTTGATAATTTACGTAAATCCAACGAATCAGCGATATAATAAATCTAATAGTTCTTACATGCATATCACAACTTTTTAGTTGCAGTCTTGCAGATGTAATTGCTGGAAAAGTTATACTCGATATGGAAAGGAGCGTCGCAACCTAAAACATCTTTCAGATAATTACACTGAGTTGAAATTTAACAAGATTGTTACAAATGTTAAAAAAATAGCAAAACTGATATGGCAATTAACATAATAATATCTCATTTTGCACTATATAATGATATTAAATTTTGACTATGTTTGTAATATTCAAAAAAAATTTACATCTTTCCAAGCTACGTATCAATATGAGATGAGAAGGGGAGTAATAGAGGCCCATTTAAAGAAAGCCCAATAGTGCTTGGGCTAGTGGCAAGTACCACTCCATTTAAGTTTAAAAAATAATAAAAAATAGGTCAATATAAAAAATTTAAAAAAGTATATAAACTAACTTTTAGTTATAGAAATTAATAAATCATAATTTGTCAAGTTATGATTCATAACTAGATAAGTTATGAATAAATTTGTTAAGTTATAATTCATAGCCAGATAAATTATGGATAAAAACCGTGAATTATAAATAATAATTTATTAAGTTATAGTTCATAACCAAACAAATTATAAACAAAAATAATAATTTAATTAATTTATTAACTTATATAAATTATTAATTTATTAATTTTAATTCATCTTAAATATTGACATATTTTCCACTATCTCCTTTTAAGCTTTTCGGCCTCAGAAAATTGGAAGGTGACTTAACTTGAGTCCTGCAACTAACGTCTTTTCTTTTTCTTTTTCTTTTTCTTTTTTTTTTTCTGGTAAAGGTGGAGATTGTCGCCTTGGGCACGTGCAACCCTTGGTTCTTAACTGAAATCACGCATTAGCTCCACACCTTTTGAGTTGGCATGCTCTGTTATCAAGACCTTTCTAATTTTAATTGTCACTAGTTTGCTCAGTTTAAATTTATGTATAATAAAAATGTAATTTAAATTATATTTAACTGTTCAACTTAAAGATTAAATTATTCTTTAAATTCAACTGTTCAAATTATTTTTAAATAATAAAAATAATTTATAAATAGTAAAAAAATATTTACTTTCTCTGTCTTTTGTACCTACCAAATACAACTTTACATTGTATTCCCTATTCAAATTAAAAACGTGAATAAATAAGAGTTCCTCCCAAATCACTTTTGAGAATTTAAAGTCTCATTCATTTCATTACTTAAGTTATGACTCAAATTATATTACTACAGTATTTTCTCCCACATAAATTTAAATTTAACTTTTTTATTATAATATTTTTTTTTTACGTACACAACTAAAGTTATGACTTAAATTGTGCAAATAAACACACAGACGGTCTTGGAAACACTTTGAAATCATGAGAGGGCCAACGCCACAAAATGCGCCAAGCATGAAAGCTAATCATATTTCTCATGCAATCCATCGGACAAACAAGTAATAAATAAATCCTGCATGTCCCGAAGTACAAAACCACATGGCCAACACATTCATTGTCCATCCATTCTAATTAACTCACAATTAGTTCCGCAATTTATGCATTTGAATACTCCCAACAAATAAAACTAATGAAATCCAATTCATTCAACACTTTTGCTTTTCAATTTTCAAAATTCAAACCCTCCACCAAACACCCTTAACTTGAACCATTGTTCCAAGTTTAGGTCAACTACTATCAAAGGGCACAACAAACAAACACAAATGAAATAAATTACCACCACCCCAATAAACAAAGAACAAATTGGTTAAGAGCAAGTTTGCAAAGAGGATTTTTCATCCCCACATTGTTTTGTAAGTCTAATGTCCTCAATAAACAATGGAGATTTAAAGCACACTAGTGAAGACTACCAGAACCGAACGAATGCGTCCCACGCTGCACCAATGGCGAAGACGGCTGGCAAAAAAAATTTGCCCCTGTAGGAAGTGGACCTTGGAGCACTGCTCTTTTCGTTTATTGGTGAAGCCGAGGGAGGGGGAGGAGGGGTTTCGACACGGATGGCTAGCTTCATTCCACCATAGCAGAACCCCTTGCCACTGATGAAGTAGTAGTGCCGGGTCACATTCAGCGGAACCACATCCCTTCCGGCTCCCCTAGTCCAGTTGTGAAGAGGGTGATCGGCATTGCATGCTTCGTAGTCCGTCTTGTTCACCTCTAGTATGTTCATCTGGTTCCTGTCGTACACAAAGACTGAGGAAAAGAAAACAGAGTTACCGAGGAGGAATACATGCAAACTTTAGTAGCCAATGATCCAAGACCAATTGCTTAAGCAAGCAAGTTTCAAACCTTTTTTCATAGAAAATGGCATTTCATCAAAAGGAATTCAAATAGAAAGTAGAAACCAATACTTGATAGTTGTTGATTGGATTATCGTTAGCATATTCCGTTGATGTAAATGTTTAGACAATATGTAGATGCTTGCCATTTGCCAAGTAAATATATATATATATATATATATTTGTGGGGGAAGATACAATTTGAATTTAAATGTTCTACAACATAATCTTATTGGAAACAAAATTGGGTTTATAGGCTCAATTGAGACCAAATTGAGTAGGCACAATATATATAAAAAGGGCAAAGCGGAAAAAAACTAAGCACTTCCACAAGAAGATATTATTGTGGTCAAGAGACAAAGGGGGAAAACTAGATATTTGACTTTTTATTTTTCCTAAATGTCCATTGTGATGGACATTGATGCAACAAATTAGAGAAAGTTACTATTTTTGAAGTGATGGTCAGGAATCTTAATCAAGATTCATTAACATTTGTGACAAAACCAATAATCCGCCTATTATAAGACTACCTTAACCATGTCATGACCTTTTGACCTCATTTTAACTAAAACCAACAGATAAAGGGAAAGAAAAAAAAAATAAAGAAAAGGAAGACACTAAGATGAAAAACTGAAAAGAAAAGGATAGTAAGCAAAATGTTAGATCTGCCCAAGGAAACAAGACAAATCAAAGTTGACAAATAAAAATACTTCCACCCTTTTCTCATTCACATACAGATAAATTAAGTTTAAGATAGAACAGAAACAACACTCTAATCTATATATAACCAAGCTGTTTCCAAAAAAGGAAAGTAATTAATTCCTTTCCCCTCAGATAATCCTCAATTAAATATAACTATAACAAAACAAAGAAAAGACCAGAATTTGCGCACAACCCATTTTCAGATCTAACTCAAGCAGCTCCGACATTAAGCAAGAACAAGCAAAAACTCTTTTTTTTTTTTTAAAAAAAAAACCCCAGTAATAGTAAGTGAATCTAAGCTCAAAAACCATGCAAAGAAAGAACAAAAGAGAGAGAAACATAGAATGAGTCTAGAGAGAGAGAGAGAGAGATTACAGAGCCAATCGTCCTTGTAGAAGTGCTTCCCCTGAGCCCAAATGGTGTAGTTTACATTAGTAGTCCAACCCTGGTTTCCTCCGACGGTATACCGAGTCGCCGAGACTTCCGGTACGGTCACCAGAATGGCCAACGCGAACAGTACCAGTCCCGCAACCGTAGCCCGCGAACCGGACAATATTCCACTTCTCAGCCTCTCCATTTCTCTCTCTCTGTCACACTCCCTGGAAACGCCCTGTATATGAAGGCTCTGTTTTTTTTTTTTTTTTTCCTTTCCTATTTCGGGGCTTTCTCCAGAGTAGTCTCTGCTCTGGCTTATATTATTATCTTTACTTCTGGATCTATAACTGTCGTATTTTTGTCTCGGTAAGGTAAGCTGGGTTCACATAAATCAATATAAAACAATCAACTTTTTCATTCGAAAAAAAATAAAAATAAAAAAAATAAATAGTTTTAATTGTAGTGGAGTTCAGGGTTAACTTAACCCTAGTTCCATGCAATCAAACAGGTTACCCTTAATCGCTTTGTGGATTTAAATTTTTAATTTAAATTAAGATGTAATATTTTTTTATAGTTTTTAACTGTAACAGAAAAAATTGAATGTGATATTTTCTGATAACTTTTTAACTATAAAAATTTAAAACTAAAAACGTGAATCGGTGAAATGAATGAGGTCTTTATATAGTCAGGTATTCTTAATTTCTTATGATGTCTTTCCAAATTCCAATGTTACATATTTGAAATTTATTCAAAGTATTATCGACTTAAAAATTATGTAACATTAACAATTGTGATTCCTTTTATACGTTAGTGTTATGTTGAATAAATATCATATTATATTATCAATTAGATGTGTTTTAAACTATTAAATTTCTATCAGTTTCTATTAATTTTATATGTTTTTTTATTTTGATTAAATTTTTATTCAACTCTGATGTATAATGCAGAATTTTTCCCCTTAGCATAGAAAATAATGCTTTCAAATATGACGTGTAGTTTTGCACCATCAGAATTTTCTTAATTTTTGCTCAACATATATTTGTTTTTGTTTAAATTAAAATGTGATATTACAGTCCAAAATAGTAGACTTCATTCGGTGTTTTTGGGTTCGTTTAATTCGTTGGTTTGAGTTTTTAATTCGAGTTGAGATGTGATTTTATGTGAGAGCTTTTTACTGTAGTAAAAAAATTAGATGTGACTGTTTCTAAAAACTTTTTACTGTAATAAAACTCAAATTGATAAAATGAACGAGAGCTTTAAATATCGTTTCATAAATAAGTCCATGCCAATTTTTTATTTATTTTTTATTATTTTTTGCTATTGTTATTTTGGTTTTGTTTTCCCGTATGTTTGCTTTAAACAAGGTTTTGTTTTCCCAACGTCTTGACGTCCGCAATCTCAAGATTGTGCCATAACTAACGCATCTTCTAATTAAAGTTTTTTTTTTTTTTTTTTTTTTTTTTTTTTTTCTATGCCTAGGTTTTTTTGTCGTATTTTGAGCCATTATATTTGATGAGTAAAGTCATGGGATTCTAAAAATAGTTTATAAAGATTGATAAGTTTATATAATTGGATTGTTTTCATTTCATTTGTGAATTGCATTGATTTCATTAATTACGTACAGATTACTCTGACTTTCACTAATTTGCCGGCGCTAAAATGGAAAACTTGTTTTAGTGGCAATTGATTTAGAAAGATTATTACGAAGTTTATTTACTTCAGATATTGGTTTACAGAAATATTTAAGATGAATCTTGGTGTTGTTCTTTTGCTTTTTTGAATTAGGCATTCTTGAATGAAGATCTTGAGTTGAGTTTGAGTTATAACTTAAGTTGAAGTTGTAACTTGAGTTTGTATTTTATTGTGCACATTTAAGTTCTGGTTTGATATACGAATCTTTTTTATTTTCTATTTGAGTCAAAACTTGAATTTGTATTTAAATGGTATTTTAATAAAAACTCAACGGTGATGAAAAATTTTAATAGAGTATATGTGTAAGATTTTATTTGTCTTTTCGTTGTCAACGCATAGAAAAAAAATCATCTCAATCAGAATTAAAACGAAAAAGTTATAGCATTTTTAATAATAGAAAAAATATTATTCATTAATTTGAGTTCGAGTTTCTGAAGTCGAGTTGAATGATAAACTTAAACTCAGGCCTCATTATTTTCGCTGATTCGAGTTTAGAATTCGAGTTTTGCTACAGTAAAAAACTCTCAGAAACAGTCACATCTAACTTTTTTGTTACAGTAAAAAGCTCTCACACAACATCACATATCAACTCAAATTAAAAACTCGAATTAGCGAACCGAACGGGCCCTCAAGTTTTAGTTCCAAACTCAAATTCAAACTCAAATTTAAACTTAAAAAAACATAAATTTAAATAAAATGGTAACTTAAATTACTTTTTTTTGAGTTTTTTATGGCTGCTGAACAGCTCCTTGATTCTTACATTGATTCTCTACAATAATGGGCTCATGCAAGTAAGACCTTTTCCTATAGATTTTCAGAAATGACGAATTTTATTTTATTTTTAAGTTGAAAAATGTAACTGCTTAAGAAGTAATACGACTATTGTTTTTCCTAGGACTGCATGATTATACGTAATCATTTTTTTTTTTTTTTTTTACTTTGTTTTTGACGTTAAGACTCAACAATGTAATACGTGCTTCCCAGGCTGGATATCATACATTATTCACTTGCACAATAATTTTGTTCAATTGTGTGGATAACCAATTTACCATATTATATTATATATTCAGGGTTTAGCAATATTATATATTCACAGAATTATTTTATTTCATAAATTCTTTTTTTTTTTTTTGGATTAAACTAACTTGTATTATCCTGATAAGATTTGTTAGGCTTGACTGCAATCACGCGGTGTTACTCCCTTTGAAAAGAACCATGTGGTACCTCCTAAAATGGGATATGGGTTGGAAAGAAAAGCCACAATCAAAGATTTTTTTTCTTTTTTATTTTCCGTGTTGACAATATTGTCATAATATGCAATTAGAAAAGAAAAAAAAAAAAAAACTTCAACTATTAATAAAAGCACAAAGCTATAAGCATGTCTATCGCGGCACGCTTCATAATTGTTGAAAAATTGTTAAGGACCAGCAAGGCAGCAACCAGCCATTAATGAACATTTAAAAGTTGAAACTCCTATCCTCCCCTATTTAAAAAATATATATGAAATTTTTTAAAAACTAATCCTTAAAATTCAATGTGAAATCGATATTATTTCTTTTGTTTAGTACTTGTTAAAAGCACGCGCTACGCGTGTGTATTCGACGTGTTACATTTTTTAGATAGAAAGATTTAAAATTTCTTCAAAAATAAAATTTTTTATTGACTTATTACTCCTATAAAAGTTTAGTTTAGTAAATAAAAAAAAATTTAAGCAAGAGTATAATTAAAAGGAAAACAAAATTTTTAGTGGAGTATATTAGAGGTTGAAACTCCTATCCTCCCCTATTAAAAAATATATATGAAATTTTTTTAGAACTAACCCTTAAAATTTAATGTGAAATCAATATTATCTCTTTTGTTAGTACTAATTGAAAGCATGCGCTACACGTGTGTATTCGACGTGTTACACTTTTTAGATAAAAATATTTAAAATTTCTTCAAAAATATATTTTTTTATTGACTTATTACTCCTATAGAAGTTTAGTTTAGTAAAAATAAAATAAAAATTTAAGCAAGAGTATAATTAAAAGGAAAACAAAAATTTTAGTGGAGCATATTAGAGAGTACGTTTATGGGATACATATGAAAATATAATATTTGAGAGGGTTGTAAAGAAAAAATATTTAGGTGGGGACACATTTGAGAAGATTTGATTTCAACAAAGCAATTAGAAAAAAATATTTATGAGGATCATATTTAGGGGAAAAAAATTGAGTACATAATCATCAAAATTTTAAAAAATAAATGAGAAAACAAAACAAAAAAGTGATGCCATGTATCAAAAAGAAAGAGAAGCCCTCATATGTCAAAGTGAAAGAAAAGTTTTTTGGGTCTTTTATATATGTTAAGACTATCTTTTTATTTAAATTGATCTATTCTTATAAAGAAACAATTATAATTAACAAGTTGATAATATAATAGACATGTGACTATTATAAAAGGATAGTTTTTTTTTGTCTGAATATTAAAAATGAGACTATCATGAAAGGGTAGTTTTTTTTTTTTTTTTGGTCTGAATAATAAAAATGTAACTATTATAAAAGGGTAGTTTTGCATTTTTCTCATAAATTATTAATTTCTATTCTAGCTGTTTTCAAAAATAAGAAAATTCTTGTATAAAAAAACATAAATGAACAAAAATTGATTTGTCGTCGTGGCCACCTCAATTACGTTCCACGTGGTTTCCTCTCGAAAACACAAGGGGGACCAAATCCAATTCAGATTCCCAAGTGCTTCAATCACATCAACAAATAACAATAAGCACATGGATTATGCAATTTCTCAGCCCAGCCATACAAAAATGTTCTGCGTCTGCCGACTGCCGACCTTTATTTCAATTTAAACTCCCACGAAGAAAACAAAATCCACTATCGAAATTAACCAAAGAACTAGTTGAGCAAACTTACAAACTTTTTATAACTGGCTTAGATGCTGCAAAAAATATATATAATGATTACTCTAATATTTACCGATTAATAAATATTATTATTTTAACTGTAAAATATTAATCGACTGTTATAATAATTTATATAGTGGCTTAAAAAATTTATGATAATTAATAAAATTTAATTTTTATCACACCATGGCATCACACTTTTATATTTAGTAATAACCATCGATAAAAACGTAACCATTAAAAACTCTACGGCTAAAAAATGTCATGACAAGAGTGATGTCGGTATCAGATTAATAAAAAGTGGGCGGGTTTTATAATGTGCGCCCTTACGTTTGAGGTTATCCATTTATTAGTTGCGGTGTTAAGTAGTGCCCTTTGAAAAAGCCTTGTCCTTGTCTATGATAATAGGAGGAGAAAAACTATTTTCATGCGTGTAAACCATAAAACTATCATTTCCATGTTTGTAAGTTGCAACCTTGCGATGATTTAATGGGACAGCACAATGAGTCTCAGAAACCTCCTATACATAGAAAAGGAAACTATGGATGTAAAAGCACTAACATAGTAGGTTATCATATCTACAAAGAAAACATATAGTTTGTAGATGTCGTTTGGCAAAAGGCTTAAGAGAGGCTCATTAGTAATTTCCTCAGTCCAACCTTCTCAGCAAGTATTGAACTTGAACTTCTTTTGTCAATGGCATGATCCAGTCCCCATAAAGAACAGCAACCAAGCTTGGCTTGATCTTGTAAACTGGGTCAGCCACATCTTCCTCTATGTTCACAGGCATCTCTTGCCCATACGTTTTCGCCTTCATTTCTACCCTATTTTTGATTGCCTCCTCAACTGATGGATAAGTCAGCAGAGCCATTAGCTTGTCCTTGTCCTGCAAAAAAAGAAAAAAAAAGTTCCAACACCTCTAATGAAACTTGGCAATCACACAGGAAAAATAGCACTAGAAATTGGAATAAGTGCATTTCGTAAAGCATCTAAAAAGGGGTCCGTGCCTGTTGTTTAATGGCAGCTTCGTAGGCCTCTGGGGAGGCTCGAAATTTAGCCTCTGCAACAAATTTACCATAGTGAATTCTCTTTGAGAGAACCTGCCATCATTAGAATTGAAATTAAGCGTGTAACCATGCAAGGAACTAGAACTGTCAAATTTTAGCCACTCATTTATTAGCTATCATGGGGACAAGAAGTCATAATGACACGGGTTTAGGGTGATATTACAGCTCGCGTAGTACCATTTAATCTCCTTCACCTTTTGGAGGTTACCTAGATCTAGAACAAATCTCTATACACCAGGCATTGCCAGTTACAATTTTTGTTGGTTGAAATTAAGCACTTTTCATGATAACCAAGTACACGGCATATGTTGAGGTAATACAGGTTGTTAACAAGATCATCGGAAACAAGATAGAAGTATATTTTACATACGAAAAGCACGTCTATTATTTCAAAAAAAAAAAAAAAAGGACCATGTTTTTTGAACAATCGAGCAGTTATCAATCAACATATTGATCTTCAAAACCATCGATATTGTTGCATTTACATTGCCTTGAAATGTTGGGAACCAGAAAAAGTTCGCTTATGTGTAAGACATCTATTGTGGCAGAGGAATTTATTTCCCTTCACATCGACCAAACCCGAAAATGAGGTAATGCTAAAACACCTACTTTTTCGGGTTCAAGTTATACCTCTTGTTTTAAATATGTCAATCCAGCAACCTATGACAATTTACATGGATGAATTCGATAATTTGGTATGTGAGCCAATGTTTTCTTGTGTTCTATGTGTGTGTTTGAGAGACTGAGGAAAGGGGGGGCCACTGGATCCGGGACAATCATGCCAAAGGACTTAAATCACACAGTTTTTATTTCGAGGCATAGTAGAGCCCTTATATCAAAGTCGACTGAATTGGTTTAAACATGCGTAGCAGCAAGGGATAAATTAGCTAAATTTACCTGCAAGCACATAGTGTCACAAACAGCAGTGGATCCGTAATTGCCGTCATCTCCTTCCTTGACCAGTCTTGGTATAAGATCTTTAAAGTACATGTTCCACACTTTGTTATTTATGTTGATTGAGTCCGCAACGGGATGCAGTACCTGGTTTCAAATTACGAATAGAATCAAACTTAAGTCAAGTAAACAGCAAGAGTCGGAAACAGAACCAAAATGAAAGGGGTTAGCCACCGAAATGAAGAAAACATCTTCTTTTTTCCTAGTTACCTGTGGGTACTGCATTGGTGGCAACAACGGTTCAGGAAGGCCAACGGGGAAAAAAGGATGCTCATCAGGGCTCTTGTACCTGCCAACCTGATCCAGAATGAAAAGTCAATATAAAACCAGCAATACACAATTCTTTCCCTCGGACAATCGTTCAGTACCTGAGCATGAAGCTTTTCAGTTTCTTTGACCATGTATTCTACAAGAGATCCATGGAACCCGTCCATGGAGAAAGCATTGGGGTCATATGTATCTGCATTGTAACAATATTGAGCTCTCTCTAAAAGGTTATATATTATGCTATCCTCCTGCCTGATCAAAGAATATCTTATGGCATCTAGGGTCAAGTTGTCGCTGTCATCCGTCCTATCCTTCGTCGCCAATGATCTGAACAATTCAGCTAAATTTCAGAATTTGTCATCATAATCCAACAAAAACACAAAATTCATTTGAAAAAAAAAAATAGCATCAATTATACTTGGAGACTAAAGAAGAACGTTAATTAATTTCAAAGCATATTATTCAAATAACAAGTACTCGGCAAACATGGCCTATGCCAATTATCAGAGTGAATGAAATATTTGACCAGGAATCGCATGAAACTCACATATAATATGAATTAAAGCAATTGAGCAAAAACTTCATAAAACAGAAAGAGGGGAAGAAAAAAAGGGAGCAAATTTCACATGCCAATGGCAATTTTCATAATCTTAGTCCATTATTAGTGAGCCATTACAACAGACCGAATCATGATCAGTTGGAATGAGTAATTTGTGGAATGTGCATTCTGCTTCGCATACATATATTCAGACTGGCAAACAAAATTGACTGATTCCATTTTCTGGCCGATGCATGCATATTATCATTGCTGAAAGACCGATTTTTTTTTTTTTTTAAAAAAAATTGTTTGCATGTGTGCTGGAATTATACTCTTGAAGCTTAGAATTACTACTATAGCAATTAGAGAGAGAGAGAGGAAAAAAAAAAAGAAAAAAACCTACATTCCTAGCCAAATTATGCGTCTCTAAATACAATTGCACTAAAATTTGCAAAACACCACCATAGTCACCAATCACCAATTATAGTGTCATGCATGGAAAAATCTCAAGCGAAGTACTTTTAGAAAACATGATGATTATTAAATTTTCATAAGAACCCATAAAAGGCCCTTTTTCAAAAACTGAAACGCTTCCATAAACAACACACACGCACACAAAATAAAAAAAATAAAAAAAGGTACAAACCCCAAAGCCAAAAAATGAAATCAAAATCCAAATTTAGGAAAATCAGTAGTTATGATAAAAAGGGTTGATATTTCTGTACCCATTAGAGCTCGCAAAAACCGGAGCACAGCAAAGGCCAGAAGTCTTGGAGGGCAAGCTTGAATTGATGCTGACCAAGTTGAGAATTTGCCTTGGTCTGAGGGAAAAAAGAGAAGTGGGTCTTGGATTTGAAGCGTTTTGATGAGGCTTAATGGAAGGAACTGAAGCTCCTAAAAGCTTGGCCTCCATTGAGAAAAGCTAAGAGCAAAAATGAAACAGGAAAAAAAATGCAGAGAAAAAAGAAAAGAAACAATACACAAGAAGACAAAGAAGAGTAAGGAAGAAGAAAGGTTAGTGGTCTTTCTTGGTGGTGGGTATTTGAGGAGGTAGGTATTGGCGTTGAATTGACGGGGTTTGGTGGAGTGTTAGGACCTCCTTCCCACGAACGAACTGTGAACTGAAAGGCTTTCTTTTCTATCGACTTTTTCTTGTCGTTTTTTTGTGGTTGTTGGTTGGAGAGAACAGGAGAAAATGTTTGGTTTGTTTTGATTGGGTAGACTAGAACACGACGCGGAAAGTAACCCCCACACCCAGGCTCCAAACTCGTGTTGTTCACAATGTTTAATCGTGAAGAAATCCCATGTCACAAATAATAAGTTGAAGTTCAAAAAAAAAAAAAAAACAAGAGAAGTTCGTAAAAAAAAATTTAAAAGATAGACTAATTATTAAAATTTATTATCTTTTCTTGTGGAAGTGGGTTATGCATGTGGTTAAGTTTTGTAGGTTTTTTTTTTTTTGTTAAAAAAGATTATTAATAATATTTATTATAGTAACTAATGATTTTTTAGGGGGTGGAAAAAATAAAAGGAAGCAACAAGGTTTTGGCTTAGTTTGATATTATTTTTCTCTCCTAAAATCAGTTTATGCTTGTAGAAAAAACTGATTTTAGTGTTTATTAAATCTTCACAAAAATGTTTTTTGAAGAATCTACAGTCAAAATTAGAATCAGCAAGTTTAGCTTTTAGATTGTGCGGGAATCAACATAGTACAATTAATAAAATTTTCATAATACTCATAATACCCCTAATGAAATTTAAAATTTACACTCTTCCTAGTCTAAAATTCAGACTCGTAATATAATATAATAATACAATAATATAATATAATATAATAATAATATTGTAACAAATAATATCATAATTATATTAATAACTCTAATATTATTATTTTATCATATAATATGATATTATAATTATAATATAATTACAGGAATTGTCTCTAGTCCGACACCGGACTCGAACGGCACTTGTATATTTTTTTTTAAAACATGTATATTTTCTCTTTAAAACATGTATATTTCATTTTAAAACATGTACATTTTCTTTTATGGTAAAATATACAATATATACATGTTTTAAAGAGAAAATATACATGTTTTAAAGAAAAAATATACAAGTGCCGTCCCAGTCCAGTACCAAACTAGAGACTTGGCCGATAATTATAATATGATATTATAATTATTATTTTATAATAATATTATATATTATATTGTATTGATAAAATTATATTATTATATTAATAATAATATAA